CTTTCATCCTTCTGAGGTGGGTAAAATGAGGAGCCAGGTAGTTAGGGGCAATATGATGACTCTGTAAACCACTTAGAGAGGGCTGTGAAGCACTGTGAAGCGGTATATAAGTCTAAGTGCTATTGCTATTGTTATTTTCTTGCTTAATTTCATTCATTATATTTGCCCAGTGTTTCAAATTGTTATCTTTAATACAGCTAGTCCTCAACTTGCAACAGTTTGTTTAGTGACTATTCAAAGTTACATCGGCTCTGAAAAAAGTGATTATTGATCATTTTTCAGACTTATGTCAGTTGCAGCATTCTTATGCTCCCATGCTCAAAATTCAGATGCTTGGCAACTGGCTTATATTTATGACAGTATCCCAGGCTCATGTGATCACCTTTTGGAAGCCAGATTCACTTAACTACATATTACTAACAACTACAATAATTCAATTAATAACAGTGGCAAGAAAGATCGTAAAATGAGGAAAAACTTACTTAACAAATATCTCACTTAGCAATATAAATTTTGGGTTCAGTTATGGTTGTAAGTTGAGAACTACCTATAACTGTAGACATGACAAGATGTTCCCACAGATATTGACCACTACTGCATGTTACTTTTTCATGGAGACTTTAACATTGGCCCCTCTACTTCTAGAGATCTGCCCATGCACCCAAATTTCTCCAGTGGTTTGGGTAACATTTCTGAGAAGACCTACAAATGCAAGGACAATCAGAGAAGATAAAAGAGAAGTCCCATTGCAGGGATGGATACCGAGTCACACAAATTAATCACAGAAAAATACAAAAATGTTCATATAAAATAAACAATAGTCATAAGATAATCCAGGCAAATATCAAATTAAAAAGCTAGAATAAAACAAACAAATCACCCAGAAAATGTTGCTTGGAAAGGCTTAAGAAAAGAACTAAATATTTGATGGAAACCAAAATGATTTACTTAAAATTCTAATTGTGAATGGATTAACAATATGTAAGTAAAATGTGCCAAAGGAAGTTTCCTAATGAATGGGTCATTTCATGTTTGTGATGCAACATTTGATCAATTGTTCTTACCAGCTTCTCTTCACTTCAGAAGTCTGGAGCGCATGAAGAGAAGCCTCTGGCAATTACTGGAAGAATCAAGCAGATTTTTATTCATAAAAAGTGTTGATTCTTCAGATATAGAGATCTGAATAATTCATGTAAAGCTGGGAAACTCAGGAGCCTCTGCATGTTACTTAACTCCCTAAGTCCTTCCCTGGTTACAGACTACAAAGAATAGTAGCAAATTTTTAATGGGTTTGGAAAGGGTCAAGACCCAGTGGGGTTATTAAATGGCACATTCCCATTGCTGAGTAGCAACTCTATTCTGAACCTCCTGAGGCAACATGCAATGTCAGAAGTCAGTCTCCAAGAACTGTGGAATCATCATTCAGCCAAAGCATGTTATTGTTACAGCAGAACTCAAAGAAAACTTCTATTAAGGTATACAGCAAACACATCCTATGAGGATGGAAAATTGGTAACAATGTTTTGGCACATAAAGTCAGTGGAAAATAAGTTACAATTTACCTCTCTCACGTATTCAGAACAAACACTATGAATTCCAAATTACCCATGAATAATAGTAGCACTTTTACAGATGCCTGCAACAGACTTACCTATCACCTGAAAGATAGGTTGGAAAAAATAACAGCTTTATTTTTTGCGAATTCCAAAAGCTGGCTTGTTGTTGCTTTCAGCTTAAACATCTTCCCTCTTCTTGAATAGACTGAAGAAATGCAAGAATTACAGGTAGACAAGTACCAGAAGAAAACAAGAATAACTACTGTTTATTCAAGGGCATTGTAGTGATTATGTAATGATAAGGTCTCCAAGTCAAGCTATACGCAGTGGCTTTATTGACATTACTATATTACTTCCATGGTAGCGTTATGAAAATGGTTTACCATTCCTTTCATTAAGAGACTTTTTTTTTAGTTCACAATCTAATTTATAACTTCATAGCCATATGATGTCCTGGTGTTTCCCATTCAACCACAATTTCTTCACTAGAATAGAATAACAGAGTTGGAAGGGACCTTGTATTCCAATCTCCTCCTCAGGCAGGAAACTTTATACCATTTCAGACAAATGGTTGTCCAACCCCTGCTTAAAACTTCCAGTGTTGGAGCATCCAAAAGTTTTGGGGGCAAGTTGTTCCACTGATTAATTGTTCTGTCAGATTCTAGGTTGCTTCTCTCTTTGATTAGTTTCCAACCATTGCTTCTTGTCCTACCTTCAGGTGCTTTGGAGAAGAGGCTGATTCCATCTTCTTTCTGGTAATCCCTGAGACATTGGAATACTGCTATCATGTCACCCCTAGTCCTTCTTTATCCCTGCACACCTTTATTAAGCTCAATTAAGATTGGCCAGATGCTGTCACTTAGCCAATTCAAAATCCCATTCAGGACTGAAGCTGAGTTTGACTTCCAAAGATGACTTTGGAAGCTTATCCTTTTTCAACTGATTCCTCCCACTGCTGCTACTACGGGTTCAGCCGATCCGGGCTGAACTGGCAGCAACCCACCTCTGCTGTGGTAATGTTAAATCATTTTTAGTTTGATTGTACATCTATGTCCTTCCCTAGGCATTTTGGAACATCTATGCACTGGCATCACCCACCTCCTCAGGCTCTAATAAGGCAAGATCCACAATTATATAGAAAGTTCAACTCACATTCAAATGAATTTACACAGAACTTCCCTTCAGATCTCCTTCTCCCTTCTGTCCTTTCCTTGCACCATAAACATTCTAGCTTATTATTCAGTCTATAAGCAGTTCAGAGAATTTACCCTAACAACCATTTTCTGATAATATACAAACTCCTGTATTCTAGAGTTCTGTTTATCCAGTTTTCTTTCCTGGGAATGGCCTAGGGGCCTTCTCATAAGGCTCGAATATTTCCTATGAACGTCATTGTAAACAACATTGTTTAAACAAATGGCCAAAGAAAATACATACTTCCTTTCCATCTCCAGATCAGTGTTAGTATTTGGCCTTCATGGCTCAAGAAAAAAACATAGATGCTATTGGCCCTGCAAAGTTTTAATAAGCATATTGTTAAGGAAAAAGGAAAAAGAAAGAAGACCCCATCAGTATTTTTATACAATAAATTCCTTCTCTCTGATACACATTCCAAAATAGCCAGAAAAGAAACTTTTTTGAGAAATAATTCTCTGAATGTTCAATCATGTTTGCACAATGAACGAAGGACCGAGTTACATAAATTGGTTATTGACACAGGGTTATTCTGTTACTGGACAAAAGTAGCCTGGGCTAGGAAGAGGAGGCATTAACATAGTTATTTCCTGGCCATTCCTTCTGAGCCCTGCGTGGGATCAATGCGATTAATTCCTTGTGATAAACGCAGAAAGAAGTAGGATAAATCGTCTATAATTCTTATGAAAATTATCAACATTTTTTTCCTGGATCAAACTACTTCTTTGACTTTGAGGAAAATGTATAGGTGAACTACATACAGCTTGTTTATCTACCAGCTTTAATTCAAATTGGTTCCTTTGAAACCAATTTTGGGAACATTTAAGGACCCCTGGACACTTTAATTAGAAGGACTCCATTTGCCCCTTGCTATGGGAAGTAAATTTGGGGACCTGTGTTTGTGTGTTAAGTAAGATCTATGCTTATGAAGCACTTTGAACATCATGAATTATAGGTAGTTCCTTGCACAGTCAGCCAGATGTTTAGACTGGATTTGGCATTCTTATCCACCTATCAAGTTCTTTCCAAGGACTTGGGATAATCAGATGTTGCTGTGGTTGATGGTATTAAAGGTATTATCGCAGGATGTGGGCTGTTTTGAGTAAAGCTGTCTTTTGCAATTCACTGATGGTGATTTTCCCAATGGTTTTCAAGGGCTGATCCGGGTTTTTTAGGGTTGCACCCAAGGCACTTAGTTATTATTGGTACTATTTTTGCTTTCTTTTGCCACAGTCATTCTATTTCTACGTGCAGCTCATTGTATTTTGTGATTTTCTTCAGTTCTTTCTCTTCTCTTCTGCTGTCTCCAGGTATTACTCTTTTTATTCCTTCAAAGAAAGTCAAAAATAAAAATATCAGAAAGGGGAAAATGTCAACACTTCAAAGAAAAATACACCAAAGGTACTTCCTGAGAAATTAGCCCTTATACATTTTCCACTGCAGGCAAAAACAATAGTTAATGAGTGGACTGAAAGAGGAAGAAAAAAAATGTTATTGTGGTCATTAACCAGCAGAGAGAATGAGAAAGAAACAGTTTCCATTGAAGAGTGCTTTCAGAACCATTCTGCCTTCCTGCGCATGTTTTTGTTTTTTTGCTTTTTTAAAAAAAATTGGGGGTAATTTCTCGGCTGTGACGTTCACTTCAATGCAATCAGGAAACCAATAGCCCATCTGCAATATAAGGGCAACCTTTCGTGTCCTTTGATCAGAAATTCATCTTTCCTACCTTTGTCTGAATCTCTTCTGCAAACCAGGTCAATCCACCCCCATTCAAAGCCAGGCCAATTGGCAAGGGGCTGAGGGGGCTGGAGGATTCACCTTTCTCTCGGATGCAAGGATGACTCTACTCCTGCTTTTCTGCACTCTTGTTCTTATTCTGCAGATGACCAGTGGTAAGTTAGGGCAGGTAGAGGTTGTTTTTTTTTTTAACCATGGGGGGTGGTGGGTGGGGAGAAAATCTGCATTAATTGTTTTGTATCAGTTCCTAGCATTTGTGCCCTTGTTGCCTAATATGCTATTATCTAGCTATGTCTTCCATGTTTTAAAGCCACAGATTGTCCCCTTCTGAGTCTTCTTTCAGATGCCTTTATCTTGTTTGGGCTCAGAGCCGAACTACTTTCATAATGTCTTTTATTTTGCATTGGATCAATAATCTTCCTGCAGCTAGAAATATATCTTATTTAACAGGAGAGAAGTACAAGGTGTGGGGTGAGGAAGGCATAGGTGTGACCCTTCCTTGCTACCTAAGTCCCCAGGTGGTGAAAGACAACTTGAGGCACCTGCACAAAGGATTAGAGATTCACTGGGTGCGCCATGGAGGCAGGTAAGATAAAATGATCCAGTTTTATCTAATTTGGAACGGAGGGCGGAGTGAATCAGTGGCACTTCTGTTTTATATTCCACTTTCTCCTTTCCTTTTTTCTTTATGACCAGTTCTTCCATGAAACGTCATTTGGTGCTCAAGGTGAAGCCCAGTGGGCTGAAGAGTCTGGCCCATTCCATGATGCGCCGAGTAACTGTCTGGGACACTGGCTTTCTTAAGGGGAATTTTTCACTCCAGATTAACCCATTGCTGAAGGAAGATGCAGGAACCTATGAGGCACACGTGAGCCATGGGAACAAGGACTGGCACTGCCTCGTGGAGCTTGGTCTGGTGTCAGGTAGGTGGATGGGATAGCTGCTCAAAGAGAAAAGTATGGAGACTCTCACAGGGACAAAGCCTGAATCTGGATGGATGGAATCCTTTAAAAACTTGGATTCTTTGATAAGCAAGCAGCAATTCTGAAGTTGCATGCATCTATGGGATTCAACATTTCAAAATGATTCATGTCCCCTGTTGAATAGAAGCAGTAAGCTAACTAAGACTATGTGGGACATGAAAGTCCCCACCATCTTACCTTGTTATTTTCAGCATTCTTTTCCCTGTAAGAGTTATCCATTTAACAGTATCAAAACCAGGCTGATAGGGTGCTTCCTATGATTTCCCTTCTTTTCTCACTCCCTTCCTCCATATCATAAAAATAGGTCTTCTGAACACGGCAGGCCTGACAATCAATTCATGAATAGTCCCATAGGCTAGGGATCAAAGTGTTCTATGACTATTACTACACAATTTTCCTTTTCTTAACAGTCACTGCTCACCCTTCTCGTCCTCTAATTGAATCTGAATCGGTCAGGCTAAACTGCAAATCCAGCCACCCAGGAAATCCTACCAACGTCCTCTGGTTCCACAGAGATGTCCTCGTCCGCACCTCCTACAGGCTTCATCCTATGGGTCAAACCCTGCTTATCACTGAATCAGTCAGTAGTGACAGTGGGCACTGGGTTTGCCAACTCACCTTTGCAGATGGGGAGATAATTGTGGTCAGATACAACCTGCAAGTTATAGGTGAGATCCATCTTCTCATCTCATCTTCCCTTTTCTCACATTTCTACTCTTTGGGGGCGGGGGGGGCGGGGGAGAACCAGGGTAAGTAAAACCATGCTTATTTCTCTCTCATTCTTAGTGTGCTTGAATGAGTCAGAAAGACCATTGTGCACTGAATTCTAGCTATCGCTCATTTTTGCACCCTGTGGTATCCCACCGCTAAACACAGAGTGTTATTTTTATTATCTCCACTATAGGATTTACTGAGCAAGCCCCCTCTGTCATCTATACAGCAGCTGGATCTGATGCTCATCTGCCCTGTGTCCTGAATTCCAATCCCACAAATTATGGAATTTCAGAAGTGGCTATCCAATGGAGACACATGACGGGGAGAGATCTGAAGGCTAAACCCACTCCCAGTTATGAACATTATCAAGATTTCACTCTTCATCTCCCAGCTGTTGGATTAAATGATGCAGGCCAATATCTCTGCGAGATCACCATCCAAGGCGTTACTATAATTCAGAATGTCACTCTGGCAGTGATGACAGGTGAGGAAGAAACTTGTAGCAGGCCCATTCTTTTCTTAAGGGATTTCCCCTGAAAGTTAAGGGAACCTAATCCATCCTATCTCCCAGCACCCTGAAAGAAAGTTGAACTGGTAGCACATTTATCTTTTGAGGCGGGACCATGGACCACCAGAATACTTACCACTTTGGGATAATTGAATACGGTGTATCCTATCATTCCCATGGACTCCCTATCATTCCTACCATTGGCCAGGCTATCTGGAAAGATGGAACTGATGGCCAATGTAGCCAGAGAGTAATAGATGAGGCAAGCTGATCAAAAGACTTGTAGACTTAAACTCAGTCAGAATAGCTACAGAACAAAACTCTTCACCTTTTTCTCTAATGGACTATTCTGAGAGTTGGGTGAAACCTATACAGACCTTCCCAGAAAGATATATTTTAATGCATAAAATAAAATACATACTGTAATTATGGAGGGAACCCAATTATGCTCAAATTTTAATCAAAAGATTAAAAAACAACAGATACATAATATAGCAATATATCTCCTTTATTAATCCAACAGACAACCTGACAATATTCTTTTTTAAGGTATAATCATTTTAGACAGCTGGATTTATTGAAGTTAACAAACATTTTTGGAGTCTGTGGGCAATACATTACATTGTTTGCCTATATGCATTATGACATGACAACTAAAATTTAGCTGAAGATCAGTAAAAACAGTTATATTTTTTCACACAGATTCATAGATCTGTAATCTATCCACAGGCTCCATGTAAAAAAATCCTGCTCTAAAGTTCTATAGTAAAGAGCTTCCCTTATTTTTTTAAATGCTTGTATCGCTCGTATGGGAGCCAGAATGGTGCAGCTATTAAGGAATCAGGCTAGAAATAGGGAGAGTGTGAGTTCTAATCCTACCTTGGGCAGAACCCGGCTGGGTGACTTTGGGCCAATCACTTTGTCTCAGCCCTAGGAAGGAGGCAATGGCAAACAACCACTTCAGAAAAACCTTGTCAAGAAAATTGCAGGGGCTTGTCCAGTCAATTTCTTAGAATCAGACGCAACTGAACCAGGGGGAGGTGGAGAGGGATTCCTTATCCAGGAAAAAAAAATCCAAGGCTGATATTCTATGATTATTTATCTGAGAGTCAGCCACAATGAATGGAAACTCCGAGTCATATTTGGTGGTACTGAGCCTGGTGGTGGGCAGACGTGATGCCGTGTTGTTTTTTGTTGGCTTGATTTT